CATACAGTTTTAAATCAAGTGAGTGCCTAACCACGTCACTGTTATTCACATTCTCAAGTGCTACCAATCTTTGAAAATAATCAAATATGCATGGAATTCTATTTAGCCTCCGATGTTCCACACTTTATCACTTATGGGCTAATTACATCGTTTTCTGCATTACTTGCATTTCACTTCTCTCAACTAAACTAGACTTTACCGAAGAAGGAGGCAAAGACGGACTCTCCAAGCATTTTAAACACTAAGGCAAATATTTTTCGCGCCTCTATGTATTAGGTGCTACAGTCACTTGTGAGAAGAACGAACAATGTATTTAATCGAATTGATTGGTTATTGACAATAGCCTGGATGAATGAAATTTCAGTCGTAAAACACACCTAGAGGTGGGAACACTTTAGGAGAGAGAAAAAGTGCTCGAAACTCACATCTTTCTCATCATGAGGACAAATGGAGATTACACGACGCACACCAGATTCCAGGAGTTCAATCTCGAGGAAAGTAACCGTAACAGTATGATGCTCCGATGTAAATGTCTCAACCCCTCCCCGTTCCGGCTCACTCGGCCAGTAGCGAGCACACTTATCCCTTTCGTCCTCCACGTTTCTAGTGGAAATGGAGGGAAAAGGGCAGATGAATGACAACGAAGAAATCATAAAACTGCCTAAGGCCTTTCGTGGCAAGTCACAACTTTAATTGAAAACATATTCTACACTCTCTTTGTTTTTTATTCACACAGATAAAGGCTAAGTCTAAGTAGATTGTTTGTTACATTAATTGAAAGAATTTGACTTTTGACATCTGATATCCACCATTTCTATGATTCACGTGTGTTAGCAGTAAGAGCACATACTTAAACTGAAGGTAACCTATTTTTAAAATAAAGTTATGACCAGGTAGATGCAGGACGTAGTCAAACGTGTTCCGTTATTTTACACTCTCCACTTGATAAGATGGCCAGAAGATAACCAGACACCTTAAATGCAAACGAATAATTTGGGAAATTCTATTCCATCAAAAATTATAATACTGTTTAAGGATCCGCAGTAGTGCACCACCGGTACACAAGCCAATTCAGAGATCATCTGTGCTCACACGATGATGTAGATGACCAGCTGCCATGGTTGAGCCAGGATAACGAATCGATTGGTCGAGTGCGAGAATGACGATTTCAATAAGAGTTTCCCAACTGAGAAAAAGTTTTTTCAATACTTCCTCCAGTGAGATTGTCTATACTAGTCTAACATCCCAAAAATAGCCACACAATTGGTGCTCTTTATTCAAGGACTAAACTTCTCCAGAAATGACCGATCGATTTTCCAAAGCAGTAGGAATGCAAGAATGCTTGATGAAAGTCGATTGAACCCTTAACTCTTTGCCTAGACTTTGAAGAAGGAACATAATATATTGCAGACATGACTACTTAACGTCTAATTGCCCCAAAACGACTAGAAGGGTGAATTGATGATGGATCACCTTACCCTCTGAGATCTGTTATTTATCCTGCATAAACCTGAAACACTGTATGAGAAGAGAAGTGCATCTGGAGGCTCTAAAAATGGCGTCTTTTCCATTAACAATGGCTTTCATTGTTTATGGATACACCTATTATTTTCTGAACATTTCTGATCAATTGCCAGTGATTGCCCAACTCAACTAATTGACGTTTACTTTTCAAATTTCGCTTAAAAAACCGATCCCCATGGACAATTAGAGTCTAAACAGTTTGATAAAGTTCCATTTTGCCTCCTCCCCCCTCCTATACCCCCATCCCTAAAGGCCATTTTCTAAGTCTTGCATCCTATCTGCAAATTCTATCTTCGAAACTACCTTCAGACCAAATGAAGATGGTGCAAATTCGGGAGGATCAGAGTGAATTACCTGCAAAGCATCATTATGTGAGGAACACGTTGCTGGTAGATCATAGTTAGAAAATCGGCAACAGTATTTTCAAGGGGCCCTTGTGTGGTAATGTAATCAGGAGATTGGGAGTAGGTTGCAGGAACTGCACAACCGGTTGGAGTAAAAAGTGGACCACGCACGAACGAGGCGTTCACATAAGCCGCACTCAACAATCCACTCTGGTATTTAACAAAAGACAAAGTCACCTTTCGGTATTGCGTAAAGTGGGAATGCTTGTATCACTGTTCAAGTCTGTTGAGGGAAAACTTACACTCATCTTACGTGAGCTTCTCAGTCGGTACTGCATACTACACAGTGACTGTACAGGAACTAGATAACCTGAGTTTTGAGTACATTTAGCAACCTAATATGAATGTGAGTTCGTTAGAGCCACTCGATCTCATTCAATCCCAATTAGGACAAATAGAGATGGGCTTTAACCACCAAGAGAAGCATTCGTATTCATAGGGCTTCATAGAAGTCATTGGTTATTCTTTGCTGATCAAAATATTCATGCATGTCTAATGTCCGCAGGTGAATCAATGGAGTCTTAAACAATTTAAGAAACTATAGGTAGATGTTCCAAGTAACATACCAAGTGGTGGGTTCTTCCAACTTTGTTTAAATATATTCATTTTAACCTTATGAAGATAAAACCAATTATCATTTTAGCCATAGTCAACATGGTGGATTCGCTTAAACCACCGAAGGCTTCTGATTGGCCATTGGCTGGGTGAGCATGTGATCACGTGTTAGGCGATGACGTGTCCCACAGACAAGAGTCTAACGATTGATCGTTAGAACTTGTATGCGATTATTTGAGAAAGAGTTAAGACGACACAACAACTTACGATAACATTGGGTTTTGGATCGGTCAAAGGCAGTGGCCATTTATGTCCAAGAATTACCATCGACTGGTCATCTGAAGAGGAATTCGCACTTAAAAAGAACTTCACAAAGGAAGAGACCTTGTTCGTTTAAAACGATATGCTTTAAGTAATTTATATCCTATTTGCATATCACCACAAAACGTCGTGCCTCAAAAACGCACACAACAGACTCTAGATTTTCGATGAAATTGAAATAGTTTAAGCAAATAAATAGACATAGAATTCCGAGTTATTGAGAAGATATAAATCGGTCACTAATTAACAAGAGTAATATTGTGGTGCAAAATAATGCTTTTCATAGGAGTTACTTACAGGGTAGAATATCACTGTATCTATTTCGCGATTTCATCTCGTTTGCTGCATTAACGGAAAGCTGCAACCTTCTCTCCTGTTCAGTGGCCAAATCTTTCAAGTACTAAGTGAGAAATGAAGACATCAGTTTTAAGTTTATGGAGGCAATTTAAAGGGCAATGTGAAAACTACCTGAAATAGTTTAGACATTTGACCTTCAGCTTTAAGTGATTCAACATGGTTTTTGAAATTGCCAAAAGCAACTGGAGGGTACCTGAAATCGATATTTATAACGTTGAAATTTATGAACTGCTCTCTTCAATGGTCAGGAGATAGGGAAAGCTAAGAATAAGTTTATGTAGTTAGTGTTATGTTCTGATCCAACTGCACCGACCCTTTTATGGCACACCATTTCACTGGATCTCTTGGAACATGACCACAGTAAGCCTACTTCCCATGACTGTCTACTGACTAGTGATTTTCATGCTCAGTCGTCCTCATATTGTCACGCATTTATATTAGTTCGTTGTCCATTCTCTCGAGTACCACTTAGACATTGATAGCTTAAAGTCGGTTTCACCCTATTTTGTAGTCACTAGATAAACAATTGCAGAAGTGTACTCAGCAATAATAGTTGCAAATAATAAAACCATTTTGGTGAGTGAATAGCTGATGCCATATCTCGTAAGGCCTATACAAAGCTCCAACCTAATTTATTTCAGTTGACTTTTCTTTGAAACTAGGTCCCTATTTTAACCTTTCCATTAAGATCTCTTCAATACTGCAAGTGAAATTAGTTGGTGACACGCTCCAGCATGCCACATTCAATAGACTTCTCAACCAATCCTGAGTTAAGAAGAATTCACCTAACACATTCTTCTAGTTTGGAAATGGCCAATCATGAACAGAGCACCTTTCGAACTCAAATTCGGAGGAATGCATCAGAAGGAGAATTGGAATGCAATATTGCCTTTCCCTTCAGGTTAAGAAGTGACGATAACTAGACTTTTTCCAAAACACACGAAAACTAGAAACTTTTAGTGCTTTACTCAAAAGTTCATTAAATAATTCCACTTTAAGGCCTAATATGTAGTAGATAACAAATGTAAAAGAGAAAAAGACTTACAACACATTATTTGATGTGATGGGTTCTTCAGATTCGACGTAATTGATAACAAAGTCTTTGATAACAAAGTCTTCTCTAAAAGAAAACGAAATTAATCTAAATTTATTTCATTAATTAGCACTGGGTCAATAAGCATAGGGCAAGAGTCGACTATGGCAAACATTCCAAAGGCCTGGGCTCTCATACTGAAAATGGTCTGCCTAACAAATATGGGATAATAACGGTCATTTTCAGGCAACACATTTTGATGGTTTCTTCAGATTCAAAGTCACCTTCCCCTCAGCTTAACGTCGAATTCAGCCTAAAATTTTACGCTAGATAAGCGATTGCAGATGTGCATTCAGCAATGGTGATTGCAAGTAATCAATCTTCTCGATTCTGGAGAGACTACTGCTGATGTCATAACTTGTAATGCCCACATAAATAAACAACTGCAACATATTTTATAAGAGTTTTCAATTGACTTTGCGATGAAGATGGTGCCAATGGATTTTCCTTTTGAGCCAGGTTACTTTAATGGCCTTGCCATTAATCCTCTATGGTCACTAACACCCTCGAATACTGCAAGTAAGATAAGTTAAGAACTCGCTCCCTCTTGACATGTTTAATGCACTTCTCAGCCAATCCTGAGTTAAGAGAGCACGTCACCTTCTGACAAACGTTATTCATCTTCGAGTAGGCTGAAACTTCGTTTAAGTCTGAGGACGAGGGTGAAGCCCCCTTACGCAAAAACCCAAATAGGCATTTGATGGAACATTTCAACCACGAATAAGACACAATTCACATTCAAGTTGAAGGAGGAATCATTGCTAGGGAAATTGAAATGCAACGTTGGCCTATCCTTCGGGTGAAGTAGTGACGATATCAAGACTTCGTTCTAAACACACGAGAACAGGGAGAACAACAGTACTTGCATCCATATTTCGTTAAATAATTCCAATTTAAGTCAAACTTTACAATAGTTAACATCTGCTATATAGGAAAACACTTACATCATATTATTTGGTGTGATGGGATCTTCAGATTTGACGCCATTGGTATTAGGGTCTATTCTAAAAGAAAACGAAATGAATCTAAATTTATTTCATCAGTTAACACTGGCTCAATAAACATTGGGCAAGAGTCGACTATGGCAAACATTCCAAAGACCTTGGCTCTCATAAAGAAAATGGTCTGCAATCAATAATTAGGCAACTCCCACTCGAAAGACAAGGTACTTTATTGAACTGATGCATTTCGAAACATGGACGGTAACTGCAGATCCACGATGAAAATATGCGACACATGGAGTGGATCACTCCTACAATTACTAAGCAGTCCACACTTCAAGATGGAGAAACAATGGAACGCATATGAGCTACTGATATACAAGTGCTTTTAAGTCAGCATCTTGAGGAGACTTGACTCATTCCTCCTAGTTCCTCTTTAAAGAGGAGATTTAATGCCTCTCCTGGAAAGAACATAACAGTTGAACCAAATGTAAATAAAACGAGTCATCCCACCATTGTTCTATATTCTTCCTGTGAAGAACGATTAAATCCTCGGTATCCTACTTGTGAGGTACTCCTTGAATTAAACTACTCACGTTCAATCAAGACATATCTATATTGAGTAGGCTGGGACAAGGGGGGGGGGGAGGAAGGAAGTTAGATTGTAAAAACATTTTCATTCAATTGACAAACTATGGGTCAATAATGGACTATCACCAGTGAGCAACGGCAGAATAAAAGAAATTTTGCTCAATACAAAGGTGTAATTAATTTAGGCCTAGGCGTCATAAAATTAATGAAAGAAAGAAAGCAGAGTCAGTAGACATCTTCCTAGCTTTAGAAGGCCTCCAGAATGACGGCTCTAACGAAGACATTTAAATCATATCAAAATAGTCCCAAAGTCAGTGGCTTTGGGTCCTCCACTGCAAATGTCATAGTAGCCGAGTTGGAGTACACCAAGATAAACCCACTTGAAATGAGATGAAAGGGACCACTATGGTTCTACTCTGCCGTGATTGGATGATCTTTCACTAAAAACCTTTCTATTTTCCTTAAACCACTTCAATCTAAACTAGGCAGCCTTTCATACCTTCAATAGTGCATTGACACACCTAAGCCACTTTACCAAGTAACAACTACCCAGTTTAGAGACAGAAGCAATGGGCAACATTTCAATCAGTGAATGTCGAAAAATTAAAATCAATTTTCAAATTTAATCAATGGACATTTTAATGAAAAAAATACTAGCTCACTTCTCCAATTCGAATCTTCAACAAGATCCTTAACTAAAATGATAAGCCACGGTACAACATAATTGCGATTGGATGCTACTGCCTTTCTATTCCATTGGCCACTTTAGGGAAACATGAGCACCAGTTCACTTTATTCCTTAAAATCTGGAAATTATTAACCATAGATACGTAGAATTCGGCAAATTGCAGCCTGCATCTGATAAAAGCTCAACCAAAATGAAGAGGAGGCTGGTGGATGTTGGCATCGAAGTACTTAGAACTTGAATGTGCCAAATGCCACCATAAAAAATGCAAAAGAATTTAAATCTCCATTCAATGAGTTAAATGCAATGTTGTACTTCGACGTGCCAGACACTGGGGCAAGTATCTACAAATAAATCAAATTAACCATCTGACAATACTAGTTTCCACTCTTGTAATTGATATTGGCTAATTTATAACCAGTTCCTTCCATACACACAGAGAAGACCATAGTTCGTGGAGAAATAAAGCTAATCATGACTGAAAAATAATTTCGGAAATCTTAGAAAACATCAGAAGTATAAAAATATAAAAGCATCAATAACTCACACATTTGTAGATTCATCTACGTCTGGTTTATTACATATGCGTTTGATGCGTTTCCAGAATACAATAAGAAGAATTAGGAGAATGACAAGAATTACGCAGACAACAACCAGGGAAACTATAAGACCCAAATAGACTTGAGTAGCTGAAATGAAAAGAGAAAAAATAGATTAACGTACTAGCAGATACTTGACATTAAAATCAAATGCTCACGTAGGTTAAAAATTATTTGAAGGTAATAATAATAAAAAGGATAGAAAAAAGAAAAGCACATAACACGATGAAGGCATGGGAAATTTGAAAACAGAGAGGGGCGAACAAATGAAATTACTAATGCATGAGAAGAAATATTAATGCTCCCACATCCACTTCCGGCATCCACCTCTAAATAACCCACGGCGTCAAGGCAAAATAGCCAGTCCCAGAAGAATGACACTGCGAAATCCCATCAGAAATACTCCCTCAA